GACTGTAATGGTGAGGAGTATGGATTTATATTGTTCTGAAAGAAACTTTCATAAGGAAAGTAAAGTAAATATATGAAAACATTATTAGGATAGATACTGGCTTATTGTTTCTTTGTGTGTTTAAAAAAGCCATGAGGAAATCTACAATGATTTACACCACTTACAATGATATATTCATCTAGACAGCTAAATGAAAGAAAGCTGTACTCTTTAGATTCTCTCTAGATCTAATACTGTGGGTCAGGAAAAAAAATTATAGCAGTATGAATGAAAAGGATATACTTTGTTTAGCCTACTTACCTAAGGAAACCAGGCTTCTGAGATCACATTGAATACTCAAACATTCCTTGAACAGAGATGAAACTTTCACTTTCAACCAAATTTGACAGAGACAAAAAATTTAACAATTTCAGTTTCTGCCAGTGTCATGGAAACAGATGGTTATGGCTGTAAAGAAACATCCTGTTTAAGCTCTCACTAAATAAAAGGCTATTAAATTCACTAGGTCCCAAATTTAATGATTTCTGTTCTTACATAACCCAATAGCACACTGCTGAACACCTCACTCATGGCTTATATATAATTAACATGTTATACACCAAAATAGCTGTAAGCTATATGGGATGCAATGCAGAAAAGGAAACCCCTGCACTTTTTGTGAAGGTCAAAGTGCCGTGAGTTTCAAGCAAGACACTTTGTGCCGGGCTTAAAACAGAATAAAAGGAACATGACAAAATAGATAAGCTTCCATGAAGTTTATCTCTAAGTTAATAGAGTAACTCACACTTAGAGCCAACACCTCATTGCTTGTGGACAAATCAGTATTTTAGAAATTTCAACTAGAAATTGAACKGGTGCTAGAGCAAACAATGCTGAAGCCTCTACAGTGTCAAATGAAAATGCAACAAAACCCTCCAAAATGCTGAAGACCTCTACCAGAAATACTTCAGTTCCTCATCTTTGTACTCATTAATAAATATTCAGTACAGTCAGTTTGAATTACTGTTAACGAGTTTCAAGGGTGAAATAGGGGTTAACAAGACCAAAGAAACCCATGAACAGAGATAACTAAGGAATTCTAGAAAAAAAAAAAAATCAGAGCAAGGAGTACACAAGCACCTGGTCTCATGTAGARTAAGTGGCAAATAGAGAAAAGCCTCTATCTTAACTAAAACACTGCTTCATGTGTTTCAGGTGTGACTGGGGCTTCYCAAGGTACACTGTTTCCACCTGTGTTATTGTAACAGGACACACATCCTTTGCTCATTACTGTTTATTACAATGAAAACCTCCTATAATTAACTGTAAAAGAAGGTACCAGTGAAACTGAGATAAACTAAACTTTMTCCACACACCCATATATATACACACAGCAGTGCTTTTTACACTGACAGTTCCGTAAAATAGTTTTTTGAGTACAATGATCATGATTATGATGCCCCTTGTATTCTTGCAAGATCTTTTAAATAGAAATTCCATGAGCTATTCTGCTAGATGACGTCAAGAAGAGGTGCTCTGAATTCAACCTATTACAAAAGCAAACCATCTTGCTACTGTACTCAAATGATACGTTAAATTCATATGCTGCACTATTAAAAATAATTTTTCTCTCTCTGTCATACCCACTAGCAGCAAAGTCCTAAGTACAACTATTTTTCAGCACTGCCCCATGTAGCCCTCTTCCAACTTCTCTGCCTAAGAGGCCCTAATCCTCTCTTTGTGGCAYCAGTCACCCTTGGCAAGCTTGACGCAACAGCCCAGAAGGCTGCTCAGGACAAATTTTGCATATCTGATCAATCAACACTTTCAGTTGTTACCCACCAATTTGAACAGAAGGTTTTTCCCTGTCAATTTTGCCCACCCAGTGCCAGATGTCACCAGGTCCCACTAATGTCCCAAGACACCACTACTGGACCTCTTTGCAGGGACCAGTAGGTTGCCGCTGGTAAACACTTTTGTTCAGCTTTTAGGCAGCAATCAGCGAGAACTTCACAGAGAGGAGGTCAATGAGAATTCTACCATTAAGTTCTCCGTCCATTGCACCCTCTTTAAGTCTGCTCTGAACTATGAATGAACCCACACTCCTCCCCAAAAACTTTCTTCTGATGTCAGTAAAAGCAGGTAAGAGGGATTAACACATTTGCATAATGCCAATGTATCTGGGAGCAAGGCCAGACCTGTCTATCTGAAATAACTTTACAGAGTCAATAATTTTTTATTCCAAATTAAAATGATGGATATGAAGATCACTGTAAAATGGACAGGACTTTGCAACACAACTTACACTTTCTTTCTATTCATCATTACATTCTGCCAGATTTTATTTCTCACTCTTCCTCATGTGCTTGGAAAAAAAATCTAAGACATTACCTCCTAATCTTCCAAGGTTTAAAGTCAAACTCTAAAGGAATTATTACAACCACTACTTCCTTCATCTGTATGCCACTGCAACCCAAATGCACAGGTACAAAATCTAGTGTGGTGAACCAGGCCCTCATACTGCACTGCTTGTCCTCTTCCTAAAACACTGCAGATTGCCTGCTTACCCTCCAAAACAAGCAGGATGACGATGAGCTACATGCCACACACTGTTCATGCCACTCTGCATGCTCCCATGCTGTGATTAGCACAGAAAATGCGAGAATACCAGAAAGCATCTTTCCATATTTAGCCATGTATGCTTAATACTGAGTTAGATTTCACCCCGGTGCATTATTCCATTAATCAAGGGTGGGTATAACAAGAGAGAGACAGACTGACATCAGCTACTTTCAAGATTTCYCTTCCTCCTTCCCCCACCTTTATCTTCTATGACACCATGTATTGTGCATTTCATGTGCATTCATGTGTGCAAACAGCAGAGACTTATCTATAAAGATCAGTTATACGGTAAAACTACAAAAGAAAACTTTCACCCTTGTCCAGCTGGTTGAATAACTGCAGAGGCCAACAGCAGCAAGCCTCTAAATACATCCTGTTCTTCTCTCTCCACCCCCACGTCTCTAATCACTTAGGAGGAAGATAGGAAGATTAGCAGAGAGGAAAAAAAAATAACCAAAGCTGCAGATAACCCTTTAGGACCACAACGTCAGGCTATAAGAACATGGAGCAAAAGGTGAATGCAGCTGTATTTTCAGGAATCCCAGGCACAATTGTATTTAAAGGGGAGGGAGGGGTACTGAGAAGGTGAGAAAGAGAAAAAAGGAAATGGTGATGAAGACAAAAATGAATTTGTCAGCTGGTTCTTTGATCACCTGGTGTATACAGGAAAGGATTATCAGCAGAAATAGGGCAGTTTTATTAACAATATACCCCAATTTTTCTTGTAGAATATTTTCATTACCATTATCAGAACAAATTTTAGTAAGAACACAGCTGCAGAAGACTCACAGAGCTATTCAAAGGATAAAGGTGGTAACCAAAAACAGTGACAGAAAACTACCTTTAGCAGCTGATACACTGAAGAGATTTGAAAAAAAAAGGGAAGAAATATAAATAAAAGTCACTTCTACGAGAAGACAATGTCATCTTCATCCATGTCTCTGAACGGTTGCTATGGGGTTGTGAAGAGGAGGGGAAGGATGGGGGGAGGTTATAATCAATCATCTCAGAAGAGCATTGCTTCTTACAGAGAAAGATCTGGATTTTGACTGTGTCCGTAAGAAAATTGCGGACTGCAGAGCTGCTGCCACGCAGGGCAGTGAGGAAGCAGGCAGAGCAGAGGCAGCAGCTGGGGATGGAAACGCCTATTAAATCCTTTAGACAACAGATGGGCAAAGCTCGGCTGGGTTATAAAAAAAAAATACACCACAATGCATCATGTTTTATTGTCCCACCATAATGAACAACACTTAACACCCACATGCCCAAAGAAGCCCCCCTATGGCTGATCTTACCCCTTCCGTAAATTATAATCTCAAGTCTCAATCCACTTTTGGGGGGATCCCAACCCAATGAATTTGCCAGATGCCATTGCTGATTGCACCTGTTACTAAAAATAAAAAATATTTTTTTAAAAAGGGAAGACATTTGGGCTTCTTTTTAAGGGATTTTCTTCCAATTAATACTCCCCTGCCCTTGAAGTGAATATGCTATCCAAGCAAGCAACAGTAAGTCCAGATCTTGAACGCATTTAGGGGATCTAATTATGTCATGTAGGGCAGAAGCACCTGCTCTCTGCTAATTCCCTCCACTCGCTTTCCTCTTTTTAATATTTCTTACCATTGTTTCATTCAGGAAAATCTGCCRGGGGCGAGTTTCATAAACAAGCTTTAAGAAAAATAATTAAATAACCTCCCTTCCCCCCTCTCAACCCCTCCTACAAAAACACAGCATAATCAGAATGAATTCTTCTACCCATCCTCTATTTTTCTTTTATTTCAGACCCTACCCACAAAAACCACCAGCCCATCCATCCATATTTGCTAAATACCCACAGCAGTCAGTGCCAGAGACATACTGTACATATTTCCACCACCCCCCCCCAACTGCACCTTAAGGACTACACCCTTTTCAATCATGATGTCATGAAATACTGCTGGTGACTCCCCCACTACCACCATCACCACCTCCTCGGTACTACATGGCTGTGAACCTTTAATTTCAATATAATTTGATTAAAAAGAAAAATGCTCCTAAGTAGGGCAGTGAAGAAACGGATGTGAAAATTCACCACCAGCAGATCAGCTATTTTTTCCTCTGCATGCACTCTGGCTGTCATCAGAACAACACCCATTAGCAGGAGTAATGAACATAAAGCATCCTGGGCTTTTTTTATTTTTCTTTCCTTTTTAAGTAAAGAAGAAAAGAAAAAAAGGAAGAAAAGGAAGAATTAAAATAAAAAAACTAAAAATAAATAAAGGCCAAAATCCCCCATGAATATTATCTGCACTGAAACAGCAAATGGGAAAACCTGAACCCTCAAACACCCCATCCCCAACACCTCACTGGCTGCTACAGCACCTTCCCTCTAGCACCGGTGCTGCTGCAAAAGAACCAACCTGTCTGTCCTTTTCCTAGGGTTTTCTCCAAACGATAGGGTCCAACATATTGTGCATGTTGAGCTCCGCTGCCTTCTTTCCCTGTTGATGTCATTTCTACCTGGATCTGTAATTCTGCAATGTGTATGTGCTGATGAGCTGGAATCTCTCTCTCTGCAGCTCTTTAAATTCCCACTTTGCAGCTGTGCAAGCAAAGCACTCTTTTTCTTTGCTTTAGTCCCCTTGGTTGCAGATTTTCGTCTTCCTCCTCTTTCTTTCCTCTCTCTCACGTGCTTGTTTTCTCGCTGGGTCTGCTCGGGACGCTGAAAGACGAAGGAGTTATTTTAATGTTCAAAGAGGGGGATCTACGATCCAAGCCCAAGGAGCATGATGCTGGTGATCCGAGCTCCGCACGCCTTGTTCTCTCTAGGAGCTGTTCAAGGGAGAGCCAGAGCTGGAGCAGCGGAAGAGCCGGGGCCCGGAGCTGTGAATGACATTAAAAGCAGCCAATCCCCTCGTCTCCCACCTTCTTCTCCCCTCCTCCTTCCACTACCTTTTCTTTTCCATCAGCAGCAGTTGCTGCCTCTGCCTGCTACAGAGCATCATGACCAATGGCAGCAGCAAGCACCTAAGTTCATCAGCCTATTGATAAGGCACAATTAAATATAATTTAATGTGTATATTAATTTAAGATCCAAACATACACTTTTTTTTTTTAATCTCTGAGTTCTGCTTCACTGTGCAGCTGCAGTTCCATATTGTTAGAGAAAAARCAAGATTGTGACAGGAAAGGGAGGGAAAAAACTGCATCTTAAAATAAGCTTGGGATATTATTTGATTCTGTTTGATTCTAGTGGACCTGTGCCTCCTGGGGGGTTTACACTTTAAAGAGAACCTTAGGGAAAGAGGGGGGGCAGGGGGAGAAGAGGAAAAATAACAGGGACAATCCTGTAACCACTAAACTCCGCTTTTTAATTTCGTGGGAGCAAATAAATTTCAGGTCCTTGGATGAACAGATCAGAAATTGAATGGCCACTCTCTTAATTAAAATTGCAACCGAAAATCCAGGGATTAAATGGTAATAGGAACAGATTGCCTGATCCACAGGCACCATACTAGCAGTGTAAGAAAACTTTCACTGTTTTTTTTTTTTTTTCCAAGTATTTATGCCTGTGTTTAACCTTCAGAGATTTAGGAGCTGGATGAAAGAAAGGATTCTGCAGAAATGCTTCAAGGTCAGCAGAAGCCTATGTACTTTCTGGATTGTGGACCACACAACAGTTTCAGCCAGACTCCAGGGATATCAAGCTGAAGATGTTTACAACACACAAATTCCATTTTTACCTTCTCTTCCCTACTTAACTCCAGACAGAAAACTGGTCAAAATACTGCTATTCAAATTCCAACTGAGATACAGAGAGAGCAAGAATTCTGAAGTCAGAGAGGGAAGCCTTGACAAGCCTGTAAAGAGAGGGCAAAACTTGTACAAGCCTTATTATCTGTTGCTCATTGTGAGGAATCTATTTCAGGTTTGTTTATTTGATTTTTTTTGAAGAGTGAAATTTACCTTTTTTAAACAACTATATATACARACAACAGATGCTCTTGTAAATTTCTATGAAACTACAAATTGGCTCTACCTGTACCACAGACAACATGCCTATCCAACAGGTTGCAGAGGAGTTAGTGAGATGAGGAGGTGGGAGGAAATCAGGCCTGTAGAATGAAACCTTAAACCAAGGTTTCCTCAGAAAACAACACCCTAACACTCGGAAAAAAAAAAAAAAAAAAAAAAAAAAAAAAAAAAAAAAAAAAAAAAAAAAAAAAAAAAAAAAAAAAAAAAAAAAAAAAAAAAAAAAAAAGCCTTGCTTTACTCTTTATGGCTCAACTTTACTCACTTCTAGACTGTGTCAGTGCAGCAACCTGTCAGCAAACTCCAAACCACCATCCCCATTCCTCAGCCTCCCCCCGCACAGCGTGCCCTGTGTGATCACCCACCATGACTCCCTCTCTGCTGAGGACTGCTCCTGTGTCTTTGCAGTGCTAACCTCTGCCCCCTCCAGCACCTACAGGTGTTTACTTTACCCTTTCTACTAAACTCAACTCCACAYTGCCATTTCTCCAAGCTCCCCACACCTTACCTTGCTCATTGTTCTCCCACCACRCCTCTGCTCCCCTTTCATCCTCACCGCCTCACGCATTCTCCCCTCAGAGCACCTGTGTGTCGCCTCATGCACCTGAGCCCGCAGCCCCTCACCAGGGAAGGAGGGAAGAAAGCTGGGGAAAACACAMCCACAGCCAGGGTGGCAGGTCTTCATGCTGTGCTGCAGTCCCCTCAGCCCGGCAGCCTTTGGCAGAGCMGCAGGAGCWGAGGAGRGGRGCAGAGAGGAGGCAGCAGTGCTGCTGGCAGCCGCAGCGCCATGGCGGCTYCTCCCGCCCAAAGCGGTGAGAGGGRCGTTGTGGGCCGGAGGGCAGCGGGATGGCTGTGTGAGGCACCCCTGAGGAGAGGCACTGGGCAAATGGGCTCAATGGCTAATGGGGGCTGACAGGCCGACGAGACCTGTCCCATGGCCGAGGGGTGAGGCACCACCTGCCCTGGGACGAAGCAAACCTGGCCCAGGTGCCACTCCGGGCTCGGAGCTTGCAGCACTGACAGAGCTGAGGGCTCAAACACACAACCATGAGGCTCAAAGGTATCAGGGTGGACCCAGTCTGGTCCATCCTGCAACATGATTGAAAAAATGTCTCTGGAACTTGAGGCACAGACCACATCCCTCAGAAGCTCTCCTTTCCCTGTGGCTTACGAGCCAGGATGGGGCTGTTCCAGGTGAGGCACCATGGTGGGAGAAGCCTGGGCCAGGCTTTTGGAAATCAAGTGTTGGGGGGAATCAAAATGTGTTGTGGTTTCAGACATTTCATTTGCCCCTAAACGTTTGGCCAACTCCTGCTGTCAAAATGTCCCTACAGTCAGTAAGGCACAATGCTGAATTGTGGCGATGTGTGCATAGCTTTCAGAAAAAGGAAAATATTGTTTATTTGTATAAATTAGCAAAGTATCCACTCCACCATATTAATAATGCAGGGGGTGAATATCAGCATAGATCAACATCTTGTTTTATTCCAAGATTTGTACCTTAACAGGTGTTTAATAGGAGATTATGATGTCTTAGTGGATCATGATATTAATATAAAGGTGAGAAATCAGACAGTATCGTCCATCCAAGACAAACTTGTATATATCAAAGTTTGTTTATGTTGGGCATTGAGGAAAGTGCATTACAGAGAACTGAATGTTACAAATCTCTACCTTCTGCCACATTATATGTGTCAGTTTCGGGGCTGGAATAAGGTCACAAACTTGGTGAAGTGACCAAGTGATGATTCTGACTGGAAGATAAAACAAAACAAGACAAACAAACACATGCATGACCACCCCCTCCATCCCCCCCAAACTTCCATATGTTTTTGGTCTCATTYAGTTATGTTATTTTGATTCCATTGGAATATCCTTCTGTATAGCCTACTGTAACAATTTCAGCCTTTTGTCCTAAACTCTTTTTAAAAGGATGTTTGGAMACTTCTTGATTACTATATAATCAAATGTTGTTGTTTAGGGATTTTTTTTATTTATTTGTTCACATAGAGCCAAATCCCATTTATCAGTACCCCTTTGATCTGAAACTCAGTCCTTTGAATCTAGGTTATGTCCCCCTGGTGTGAATTACTTATACAATAACTCCCTCAATTATTTGAAGCCCTGTTTATCCAAATGTTTTGATGTTCCAAAAGTATTTTGAATAAACAGGACTCTGCTGTCATTGGATGCATCAGATATCTTTGGGGATGCATATGGGATGATTTCCCCTGACCTTATTCTGTATAATCTTGTGCTTAAATGAGCAAGCAGTGCAGGCTTAAGTGTATAGTTAGCATGTTGGCATACTCTTCAGTATTTTACCTTTTTTCTGCATTATTTTTCTTTTGTTATTCTTATTTAAGAACTAAATTTTCTCTCAGGAAGAACTCAACAGTAATTCCAGCAAAAATTTTGCTTGAGTATGGAGTGAACAAAAAAAAGAAATTATTTAGAATTTTGCTAAGTTTTATCATACTTTTTTTTTTAAAAAAAAAAGGAAAACAAAGGACTTGCCTTTTTTTTCCATTTTTTACCCACTCCTATTGATACTAGATTGTGTCTAATGAAAGTCTTCATGATCATTTGTTTTCTTAGATGCTTGTCATTGCCCTTCCTCTTATTCCCATGAAAATCTTAAGGGACAAGATTGATCATGAGATCATGCAAGAAGCTACAGAAAAAAAACTGGTCCATGAGGAAGTTTTTTTTTTTTTTTTCAATGTTTTTCCTTGCTCAGTTRAATATATTTGTGAAGCTAGAACTGAAAAATCAAGAAAAGGAAGCATAAGGCTTCCAAGAAAAAGCACCAATAAACTKGTGTAATTAGCATGGAAATCARTAGTCTTCTTGTGGTAAGAATTCAKATAAGCTAAGACTTTGTCTCCAATTAGAATAACCTAATAGCTAATKTTAATGATAAGGACATACTAAAGTTAAAGAGGACAGAAATATTGGGCATTTGCAATGTCAGGAATCATTCTCACATCCTGAATTGTGTGTTCAATCCACATATGTATGGACACGACACCCCTTTGATAAGTGATATTGGGATTTAGATATTTTGAGAATTAACCCCATTCTATAGATATTCACAAGAAACTGAGCCAGGGGTTTGAGGGACATTTAGTGTTCAATACTGTTGACAAACCGATGSCACTTTTTAAAGAGTAATTATATCAATCTGCAAAATCTCCAATCAGATGTTAACAGTCTAAAATTTTAATTTTTTCCCCTTTGCATTAGCTATCTACTGTCTTTGTAAGAAGCCAAGGTAGACTGCAAGAAAATAAAGAATTGGATTTCAGTAAGTGGTAGTGTTACAAATTCTTAGAACACTCTCAGAGTTCAGACACTTTTCCTACTATAGCAGGTGTTGAGAAACTTAACTAGCTAACATCAGTTACTCAAAGGCAATGCTTCCACAYAGAGTCTCACTTTGGCAGCTCCTAAAAATTGGTCCATATTGCTCAGCAAAGCTGTACCATAGACAGAAGTTAGGCAGTCTCTTTGGAAATTTTTCTTTTGTTGTTGCTATTATTGTTATTACTACTGTTAATAATAATTTAGCTATTATTATCAGGATTCTTGGCATTCTACATATTCTAGTTATTTGTTTTTAATGTTCACTCAGGAAAAATGAATTGTTMGCTTATTATCTAGTTATCATCTTCCTTTCAAGATGTATTAAGGTAAAGGCTTGTAAAATATTTAATAGTAAAGTAGATAACTGCTTTCACAGTATCATTTCCTCTGGACCATGGACTCCTCTTTATTCGTTTGGAAATATTGTTGTCATTTTCT